CACACATCTTCTCCATCTCTGACAATGCCTACCAGTTCATGTTGAATGGTGAGTACTTGAATTCCTTTGAACTACTCTTGCAATGAGCTATCTGTAGGGGAAATGCAGGATATTCATTGGAAAGATGGTGCAACACTTAAAATATTGTGTTTGTGAAACTAATGGAAGATTAATGCAGTTAACTGTAAAGGTTTGTATGAGCTGAGTGTCTGTGTTCCCATTAGAATCAATAAAGACCTGGACCTAATGAAAATAATGTAGAAGGAGTAAATTAACTGGAAAGGAGACAGCTATTTTCTGGTGTAGACTTTACTGACTGTAATGGGATCTTATATATATGCATAGATTTACATATCTTAACCACTAAACTAGTCTCAGCCAGACAGTACAAAGTACAATAGTATCACACACCCTAGAAATGATGTGTATACAGTCAATTCAAATTTGCAAGCATCATTGCTAACAAGTAAAACAGAGTATCTCTGCACCGAACTGAAATAAGCTTCACTTGAATATTATGCAAATGGCCTTCATGATGGAAAAGATGACTGGATGGACTAAGTACATACGACCTTTAATGATCTTTGTAACCCCTACATTGATCTATGCAACTGTAAATCAATTACATCTTCCAGTGAAAAGTAAACCTCAGCAAATGATATTAAGGAAAAAATAAAGCTTGTAACATTTAAACTAAATGGCTTTAAAAAAATTCTTTATGCTTTCTCGTCTTCCTTTCATCTCTTTTTTTCTCTTCCCCTGATGTGCATTGAAATCAAAGATGTGCAGGATTTTAGATCTTCTTTTCCTGTTCTTTTGTTACAAACTGGGAAATTGTTCCAGAATAGAAAAGTTAAATATTAACCTTGTTTCTGTATGATCTCAGGAATATGTAATATCTGTATGTATAAGGGTAAAAAAAAAAAAAAAGATTAAAAATAGTGAAAGAGGTTGAAAAGTGAAATAGCTTCATGCTGTGAAAGCCCAACCTCAATATTTTTGTTATGTGTGGTTACCTAATAAGAGAGAAATAAGTAGCCTGATGAGAACAGTATCTTGAAAGACATAATACTGGAAAAGCTACTCAGAAGTGATGTCTTTACTGATCCAGTTGATAATACCTCAAGTACTGCTGGGAGCATCAAAGTACACACTAGAATTCCCAGGACTTTTCACTGTCTTCTATCCCTGCAGCCTCTGGAAGCTTCAGTTCATATTTTTCCCTAGTTTTTGAGTTCTTTGTTATTCATGAACACTAGAAAAATCTTTCTTATCTCTGTCTTTTAACAGATCGTGAGAACCAGTCAATCCTGATCACGTATGTATACTCCCTGCTTGGGTCCCTGAGGGGCTGATGGGTGCCAAGGCACCTCCTATCTGACCACACGCTCTCTGCTTCTCTCTTTGGTTTTGCAGCGGAGAATCTGGTGCAGGGAAGACTGTGAACACAAAGCGTGTCATCCAGTACTTTGCAACAATTGCAGCAAGTGGGGAGAAAAAGAAGGAGGAGCAGCAGGCTGGCAAAATGCAAGTGAGTGAGGAAGAGCAGACTGAACACCCGACATGTAATTGCCATGTCAACTAAACACTATAATTGAATAATTACCATCCTGTAGGGAACACTTGAGGATCAAATCATCAGTGCCAACCCACTGCTGGAGGCCTTTGGAAATGCCAAGACAGTGAGGAACGACAACTCCTCACGCTTCGTAAGTTGTTGCTTTAGATAAAACCCCTCCTCATTATAACAGCAATGATGGGCTAGTAGTATTCTCACATCAGAAGATGACAATGAAATGCACTTAGTCCGAAATACTGCTGCTTCTCCTTAACAGGGCAAGTTCATCAGGATCCACTTTGGAGCTACCGGCAAACTGGCTTCTGCTGACATTGAAACTTGTAAGAGACTGTCCTGGCCTGCTCCCATTCCTTCCTAAATTCCCACCTCCATGTGTGGTCTTGTGCCTGACTCTTTCTGCCTTTCTTGACAGATCTGCTGGAGAAGTCCAGAGTCACTTTCCAGCTCAAGGCAGAAAGAAGCTACCACATATTTTACCAGATCACCTCCAACAAGAAACCAGAGCTAATTGGTAGGAAGATCACTAACTTTTTTGAAGGAAGTTCACTGAATAATATCTCATTGTGTCATCTGGAAAGCTAAAATAAGTTTATTTTTTCTTTTTATTGCTTTCAGACATGCTCCTCATTACCACCAACCCTTACGATTTCCACTTTGTGAGTCAAGGTGAAATCACTGTTCCAAGCATTGATGATCAGGAGGAACTGATGGCTACAGATGTAAGCAACTTACAAAACAGATCATCTGGTGGATAGGAGCCCTGGTACATATACATTTCTTTTACTATTTCTGTTACCAGAGTGCCATTGACATCCTGGGCTTCAGTGCTGATGAAAAGACGGCCATCTACAAGCTGACAGGAGCTGTCATGCACTATGGGAACTTGAAGTTCAAGCAGAAACAACGAGAGGAGCAGGCAGAGCCAGATGGCACAGAAGGTATCAGCTGATTCACTAAACTTCCCAAAGAGATGGTCACCAAAAGAAGGCAGATTTCAGGCTTTAAATATGCAAAACTGTATCTTAAGAAGTATTTGTTCAATGGCTAGATGACAGTTGAAACATGTATCTCATCTAATAACCCTCATTTTATTCTGTGACCACTTAATAAATAAGAGATCTGGTGTACACTGCCAGGAAGCCAGGAAACATGGATGTCAATTCCTGTAACATTGTTAGTCATACTTCTGTTGGAATACACCTTGCAATCTCTGCTGTGTTGTGGAGTGGTGAAGTGGTTCAGCCCTAACAGCATGGGAGACTGTGCTCCTATTCACCCTCACTGAGCAGGGGAAGCTCTGATATGAGATGTGTATTTGATTAGTCGCTGTCACAGCTTGAGGTACAATCCATACCTCCAGCTCTCTGAGTGTTGAATCTTCTTGCTATACAGCTAGAAAGAAAGTGTGAAGTCCCATAGTCATGCCTGAAAAGGGCTGAAAGCAATGAGTTGTCTTGAAGAACATTTGTAGAAATTGAAGCTCAGAAGGTGCTGCAGACTGCAACTTGAAGACAACAAAGAAATTAGCTTTGTAACAATGAACACTGCCATTACTTTTGACACAGTCCCTCAAGGACCACAAATTTTAGGAATTGTGCAACATTTGTTTCTCTCTCACTTGTTTCGGTGTTTAGTGGCTGACAAGGCTGCCTATCTTATGGGTCTGAACTCAGCTGACCTGCTCAAGGCGCTCTGCTATCCTCGAGTCAAGGTGGGGAATGAATATGTGACCAAGGGTCAGACGGTACAGCAGGTAGGAAAAATGTGGTAACCTGGAACATGCTTTGATGGTTCCTGATGAATTCTCCTGTGCTGTGTATAGTAACCTCCAAACCTTTCTGCTTGCTTTAGGTGAACAATTCAGTGGGTGCTCTGGCAAAGGCTGTCTATGAGAAGATGTTCTTGTGGATGGTTGTTTGCCTCAACCAACAGCTGGATACCAAGCAACCCAGACAGTACTTCATTGGTGTCCTAGACATTGCTGGCTTTGAGATCTTTGATGTAAGGAACAAGGATTTAGGACCATAGTCAAGGGAGGACCAGGGAGGGGTCTTCCTACCCTTATATACAGGGTGTTTGGAATAATCTTTTTTGATCTTGGCCAAAAAAAAGGAAACTAATCTCCTAATTACACCAGATTTTAAACCTTCTCTCTTTTCTATATGCAAAACCTCTCCTAGAAAGGTAGCGTAGGAAAACTACACAAGAAGAGGCATGTATTTAAAGTATTACCCATGATGAATTAGGATTGATGAAGAAAATACCTTGTATTATTGGTGAACCTTGAAAAAATTGCATATTTTTTTACATTTGGCAGTTCAATAGCTTTG